GTAACGTAGGAAAAACATCTCTTTTACGCAGATATAAACTAGACGAGTTTCACACAGATGTAATGAATACAATTGGTGTGGATACTGGTATAAACACCTCGAGACGGCGCAGAAATATTTGAATGCAACACCTAGTAGGAGTACCAACACTACACCGTTTCATTTGTTATTTGGGACACACATGAAGCTGCGAGAAGATCTCGAAATTCCAAAGCTAATCGAGGATGAGTGGGTTATGATGTTTCAAGAAGATCGTGACCAATTACGTGCGAAAGCAAGGAATAAAATTGCTGAGATTCAGGCTCAAAACCGGAGAACTTTCAACAAAAGGCGAAAGGAAGCAGCACGATATAGAGAGGGAGATTTGGTAGCAGTGAAAAGGACACAGGCTCTGGTCCGGGGTTAAAATTCTACCCGAAGTTTCTTGGACCATACCGTGTGACCAGAGTACTGCGGAATGACCGCTACGTAGTGCAGAAGGTGGGTAATCATGAAGGGCCGCAGAAAACATCCACTGCAGCCGATTACATGAAGCTATGGGTCACCGACGAAGAGGACGATTTTTCCAGTGAAAGTGAAAGTTCGTGCAGTGGCGATGAGAACATCTGAGGGCAGATGTCCGGTCAGGACGGCCGAGTGTAGTATCGTAATTTATTAGGTATGTTTAGGACGAGGAGGAGTGTTAGGCTTAAGACCGTAGTTCTAAGACTTTGTGTTTAGGGTAGGCAATAAAAAGAGAAACGTTGGCGAAAGCCGGGTCAGATGGGAAAACCCTTGGCGACGGAGACCCGGCGGATGCGATCGCCACGTATTGAGAAAAGGGCAGGCAGAGTGTGTTCGAGAGTCGTCGAGTGAGGAGCGTTACGAGTCGTAGAGTTAAACGAGTAGTTATAATCTTAGTTGTAGATACGGTACGCGATATTCTCTGTCTTCACATCACGCTCAGTCCTTTCCTAGTCTCTACAGATTCAATATTGTTTAAATATTGGACAATTTCTACATTTATATATATGATCATGTAATTATCAGGTACATTATATACCTCAATGTAAATTATAGTATATACGAACATGTAATTATATGATATATTATATACCTTAATATAATTATAATGTATATTATGTACCTTAATGTAATTATGAGATATATTATATACCTTAATGTAATCATAAGGTATATTATATACCTTAATGAAATTATAATGTATATTATATACCTTAACGTGTAATTATAATGTATATTATAATCAGATCTTTGCGATCGATACCGTCGTACAATAGTGTCACGCTTAAGCGAGATTCGTTATATTCCCTCTTTAAAACATCATCCATGTAGAACCGAATATGTACCGTTGTCTCATTTCGTCGAGGATGATCCGTAACCGAGTTCCGCGGCGTGCTGGAACATGGCAACCAAAGAATCCATCGTTTCCTCCGCAGTTGGTATTATTTGGCTTGCCGGCAGAATAAAACCGTATCGTCCCGTGTCCCGAAGCTCGTACGTGAATGTTACAGGAATCTTGTATGTTCCCCGCACCCAGTCCATGGATCCACCGGATGCAACATCTGCAAAGGAAATATAATAACATCAATGTATTTTCAACGATTTCTTTGCCTCGAGTTAGAAATATAATAAAGTATAAAATACAAAAGATAATATAATAAATATAACAATTACAACAGTCATATAATAAATATAATAATATAAAAAGTATAACGATTTAATTTCTACTTTCTCTTTGATAAATTCGATATAAGCAGTTCCATTTAATGAACAGAAATTGAAACCAAAAATTGAAATAGAAATAATAGAACAATATTACGACAAAAAACGTTAAAATTAACACCGAACATGTTATTAATAGATTCGTTGGCAAAATAAAAATCGTCTTTATCGATCGCGTGCAACAGAAACCAAGCGTAAACACCTCACTCTTCCTTTAATCGTCTCAGTAGATAAAAAATGATACATTCATGTTTTAAAATGCTTTTAATTGTTGCACTATTTTCAATCGTAACCATACAGTTTCGCTATGAATGCATAAATTCTGCAATCAAATTGGTAGCAATTTATGTCAGTTTCTTTGTAATAAAATCAAGGTT